CTCTTGATTATGATATTCGTCTTACTCCATTGGATGATTCTCTTCTTGAGGATCCTACGTTATATCGCCAGCTCGTTGGGAGTTTGATATATTTGACTGTCACTCGGCCTTATATAGCTCATGTTGTTCATATTGTGAGTCAGTTTATGGCTGCTCCGAGAACCACGCATCATTCTGCTGTGTTGCACATCCTTCGCTATGTGAAGGGCACCTTATTGCATGATTTACATTTCTCGGCCAGTTCTTCCTTGTCCCTTAGCGGCTACTCTGATGCAGATTGGGCTGGAGATCCTACCGATCGTCGCTCCACTACCGGGTATTGCTTCTTCTTAGGTGATTCACTTGTCTCTTGGCGCAGTAAGAAGCAAACCTTGGTTTCCTGTTCGAGTGCCGAGTCTGAGTATCGTGCTCTTGCTGATTCCATCGCAAAGCTATTATGGTTGGGTCGATTACTTGCTGATCTTGGTGTCCCTCAGTCATCCTCTACTGCTCTTCATTGTGATAGCCAGAGCGCTGTCAAGATGTCTCATAATGATACGTTTCATGAGCGTACCAAACATATTGAGATTGATTGTCATTTTATTCGCCAGCATGTTACCCATGGGACTATACGACTTGTTTCTGTCTCCTCTTCGGATCAGATAGCGGATGTCTTTACGAAGTCTCTCCTTCCCGGTCGTTTTTGTTTACTTCTTAGCAAACTCAAGTTGATATCTACTATACCACCTTGAGTTTGAGGGGGGGTGTTAGAATATATTTTGTATATATGGTTATAATATATTTTGTATATATATTGTAGGATTAGATTTAGGCTCATTATGTTCCTATATATATGTGTACATGTCTTTTGAATAATAGAACATATATTTTTCCCACTTTCTTACACGTTAGATTATACACACATTCTTGATCCAAGGACAATGTCATGAATATGGTGAATTCATACCCTAAAATCCTACATTAGATTAAAATTGTTGGCATTCATTTTTCTTCATGACTTCTTTTTTTTTTATTTTCCATTTCGAAATTGATTGGAGGGATGAAAGATACCTAAAATTAAAATGAAAGAAAACTATTCACCACTTTTGGATTAATTGACAAATAGTTGTATCTTTAGTAAAGTAGTCACGCAATTTGACGCACCAAAATGAGAGTGCAAATTAAAAGGAGGGTAGTGGGAAAACCACTACTGGAAAAATTGTCAGTGACCCTTTCAAATTCTTCGCACCTAAGTCATAGTATAATATCAATTGAGCTGATTTGGAATTTTAGGTAAAGTCCACATATCATCAAATTATTAGAATTTCCTATCTCTTGCATTCTCTTTCAAGTTTTTAAGTAAATAAACGTTAAACAAGTCGAGACGAGCTTGAGCTTTTAATATTCGAATTTGCATTTTGTGCCTTTATCGAAACAAGCCGAGTCTTTAATAAAATGAGCCGAGAAATATGCTCAAACTCAATTTGTTTATTAATATTAATGAACTAAAATTATAAAAATTACATAAAATATTCTTAGCTAACAAGCGACTCGTTTCGTTGCAAAATATTAATGTGTCCAAATATATATGTTTGAGGTTATTTACTTTTTTAAAATTGAAAAGTTCTAAATGCTACCTAAAGTAATTAAAATATCACATTGCATTATTTATAAGTTTTTTTTTTACATAGTTATATTTTTCCATAATAACTCCCTTGAAAAGGATATCTTATCAAACAGAAGGGAAGGACAGACCCTTCCCCACACTACTTTATTAGTTGCTTGCCCCACGCCAATTACATTATAGAGGTGTCCATCAGCTGGGCCACTTCCCGACCCGGCCCGGTCCAGCGGGTCACCGAGCATCAAAAGGTGGACTCGAAATTGGTCTGGTTATATATAAGGGCCGGTTCATTACAAAAGGTGGACTCAAAATTGGCCCGGCGATATATAAGAGCCGGTTCATTCGATGTTTTTTAATTAAAAAAAAAAGTTAAAATAGAAAGTAATTAGGACCCGTTTTTTGGCCCAGAACCATCGGGTAAAAAAATAAAAAATAAGACTTGGAACCGACCCGATGTTATCATGGGTTCGGTTCGGAGACCAGACAATCCGGGCTGAGTCGACCCTTGCCACCTCTAAATTACAGTTTATATACAATTGAAAATGGATCATTGGTAAGGACATGTTTTATTGCTTAGCACATCACGTGTATTTTGTTCACCTTTTTCTGATTTTCCAAATTGGGTAAAAGCATAAATAAAATCTGTAATTTTGATACATCATAACCTTTACTATCAGTGCAGAATTATTGAGCTTAATTCATGTGAAGACGTACGTCATCAAGTACGACAAAGATTTTTTTACCGGCTCACCAACGATTTTGAGCCGGGTCAAATTTTTTTCAAAGCGTGAACCGGAACAGCCTTTTCAAATTTCGGGCCGACCCGGATCCGTGACTAGTCTACTGTCAACTGTGAGACATACGCGAGATGGGTAGGGCCTTCGCCCCCATTAAAAAAAATAAAAATGTTACAATTTTATTAAGGAATTATTTTGTCGGGATTTGTAACCGTTAGATTATCTTAGAGCACCCACAATGCTTTGGGTCTCTTAAAAAAAAATTACATGCCCTGTAAAAAATAGACCTAGTCTATAAAAAATTGTTCTCCAATGCAATTAAATGTAGACCTAGTCTAGCTTATGTGGCAATAAAAAAATGAGACCTAGTCCACACTTGGGTCTATTTTAGACCCAAATACAAACCCAAGCGCTCATCATTTATTCCTCATTTAGTTTTTCTTTTAATAAATGAAATATATTAGAGCATTTTTATTGGTTGTCATGTATTCTAGACCTAGTACTTTTTTGTTTTGCATTGGATAGATTTTGGATTTTTTAGTTTGGGTTTGTCCATGTCATTATGGACTTAAGTCTATTTATTTGCCACATATATAAAAAGAGACCCAAAGCATTGTGGATGCTCTTATAACTATCGTGGATAGTTGTTCTAACGATTACAAACTCCGACGAAATAATTCTGAGCATAAATCTCAAAAATAATAATAATAATAATAAAACTTGAAAATTTAAGGAAAATTTTTCAAAGTCCTTCCGTCTGACAAATTACAGACGTATGTTCCCGTCTTTCTCACTCAAAATAACATCCCCACCGTCAACTCTCTCTCCTCTCTCCTCTCTCCTCTCTCTACACCTACCTTTTTTTTTATTTTTTATTTTTTATTTTCCTTTTCTTTTTGCCCACCTTCCCGACCGCATCCTCTCTATCCAAAGACCTCACTCTGAAGAAAATCACAATCCCAAAAATCAATGGCCAAGCTCGTCGTCGAGGTCCTCGACGCCGGCGACCTCATGCCCAAGGACGGGCACGGCAGCGCCAGCCCCTTCGTGGAGGTCGATTTCGACGGCCAACTCCGCCGCACCTCAACCAAGCCCCGGGATCTGAACCCTGTCTGGAAGGAGACGCTCGTCTTCGCCGTCGAAGACCCCGGCGGCCTCCCGGGCCGTACCGTCGAGGTTTTTGTCTACAACGACGGCGGGACCGGCCGCCACCGGAACTTTCTCGGCAAGGTCCGAATCTCCGGCGCGTCGGTGCCCCCCTCCGAGTCCCAGGCCGCCTCCCTCCGGTACCCCCTCGAGAAGCGGGGCCCCTTCTCCCACGTCAGGGGGGATCTCGCGCTGAGGATATTCACCGCGCAAGGGCCCGCCGCGGAGGGGTTTCCCATCGGTCCGCAGGGGGCGGCGGTGGAGGAAGATTTCCGGCAGACTGCGGACCCGGGCGAGGTGAATCGAGGCCACCGCCATCCGAATCACCCGAATAGCGAGCCGATTAAAGCTCACAAAGCGTCCAAAGAGAATCTCGGCACTGACAACGGCTTTAATGGGGATTTCTCTTTTTTCCACAAGGAGAGCAACCACGGCAAAGAGAAAAAGAAGAAGAAGGAGAAAGAAGTGAGGACCTTCCACTCCCTGGGTACCGGCGGCGGCCCTCCCCCGCCGCCTCCGGAGAAACAGCCCCCCTTCGTGGAACCCCGTGCCGATTTCGTTAGATCGGGCGGCGGGCCGCCGCCTTCCGCCACGGTGATGCAGATGCAGTTCCCCGGCCCGAAGCCCGAGTACGGCGTGGTCGAGACCCGTCCGCCCCTTGCGGCCCGAACAGGCTACTGGGGCCGTGACAAGACGGCCAGCACCTACGACCTTGTGGAACAAATGAACTTCCTGTACGTCAACGTCGTCAAGGCCCGTGACCTCCCCGTCATGGACATCACCGGCAGCCTCGATCCTTACGTCGAGGTCCGTGTCGGCAACTACCGCGGCGTCACACGCCACCTCGAAAAAAACCAGAACCCCATCTGGAAGAGCGTCTTCGCGTTCGCCAACGAGCGCGTCCAGAGCAGTACAATCGAGGTCACCGTCAAGGACAAGGACCTCATCACCAAGGACGATTTCGTCGGCAAGGTCAATTTCGACATTCGCGACATCCCTCAACGCGTCCCTCCCGACAGCCCCCTCGCCCCTCAGTGGTACCGGCTAACTGACAAGCGCGGCCAAAAATTACTCGAGGGCGAAATCATGCTTGCCGTCTGGATAGGTACACAAGCCGACGAGGCTTTCCCGGAGGCCTGGCACTCAGACGCCCACAACCTAAGCCAGCAGAGCCTCGCCAGCACCCGCTCCAAAGTCTACTTCTCCCCTAAACTCTACTACCTCCGAGTCCACATCATCTCTGCCCAAGACCTAATCCCTTCAGACCGGTCCCGCCCTCCCGATACCTTCGTCCGAATCCAAGTCGGCCACCAGGTCCGCACCACCCGACCCTCCTCTCTAAAGCACGCTAATCCCGAGTGGAACGAAGAGCTCATGTTCGTAGCCTCCGAGCCGTTTGATGAATACGTAGTCGTGAGCGTCGAGGGCAAAGATGAGGTGATGGGGAGGATTTTTATCCCGGTTAGAGAAGTCCCGCATCGAGTCGAGCACTCCAAGCTACCCGAGCCCCGCTGGTTCGCCCTCCTCCGACCCTCTGTAGCCGACGAGGATGAGAAGAAAAAGGAAATTAAATTCGCGAGCCGGATTTTAATCCGTCTCTGTCTAGACTCGGGTTATCACGTTCTCGACGAGTCGACACACTTCAGCAGCGATCTCCAGCCTTCATCCAAGCACCTCAGAAAACCGAGTATCGGGCTTCTCGAGCTTGGGATCTTGAGCGCACGAAACCTTCTCCCGATGAAAGGACGAGACGGTAAATTAACCGACGCATACTGCGTGGCAAAGTACGGGAATAAGTGGGTTCGCACGAGGACTCTGCTCGACACACTTCACCCGCGCTGGAACGAGCAGTACACGTGGGAGGTTCACGACCCGTGCACAGTCATCACAGTCGGGGTGTTCGACAACTGCCACGTCATCGGGAATGGTGACCCCGCGCAGCGGGACCAGAGGATCGGGAAAGTTCGCATCCGCCTCTCGACACTTGAGACCGACCGGATATACACACACTCGTACCCGCTGCTCGTGCTCACGCCCTCTGGACTGAAAAAGCACGGGGAGCTCCACCTGGCGCTTCGGTTCACGTGCACGGCATGGGTTAACATGGTAGCTCAATACGGGAAGCCCTTACTCCCGAAAATGCACTACGTGCAGCCGATCTCGGTCAGGCACATCGACTGGCTCAGGCACCAAGCAATGCAGATAGTGGCGCTTAAGCTTTCACGAGCCGAGCCACCGCTCAGAAAGGAGATAGTCGAGTACATGGTCGACGTGGATTACCACATGTTCAGCCTAAGGAGGAGCAAAGCTAATTTTCACCGTATAATGTCTTTGCTTTCTGGGATATCGTACGTTTGCAGGTGGTTCGACGGGATTTGCTACTGGAAGAACCCGTTGACTACTATTCTTGTGCATGTTCTCTTCTTGATACTCGTTTGCTACCCGGAGCTAATATTGCCCACCGTTTTTCTCTACCTTTTCGTGATCGGCATATGGAACTACCGTTTCAGGCCAAAGCACCCGCCTCACATGGATGCTCGCCTCTCGCAGGCCGAGAACGCTCACCCGGACGAGCTTGATGAGGAGTTTGACACTTTTCCGACATCTCGGCCGTCAGATTTGGTTAGGATGAGGTATGATAGGTTGAGGAGTGTTGCGGGTAGGGTTCAAACGGTGATTGGCGACTTGGCCACCCAAGGGGAGAGGGCACTATCGATATTGGGCTGGAGGGACCCGCGGGCCACGGCTATATTCATTGTGTTTTCGTTGGTTTGGGCTGTTTTTCTGTACGTGACTCCGTTTCAGGTTGTGGCGGTGCTAGTCGGGCTTTACGTGTTGAGGCATCCGAGGTTCAGGAGTAAGTTGCCGTCC